CATTCTCATCTCAGGAATATCTAGGCTATCCACCACTATACTATTTCCCTGTTTTGAACCACTACTTTTCCAGTTATCTTCCTGTTCAGGCTGTTCTAAAATATTAGCAAGACCATCATCAAGGAAACTATCTATGCTTCTAGCATTGTATTTATAAGATTGGGAGGATACAGTATCAAGCAAGTGATCTCCAATAGGACCTATATCAGACTGAACAGAAGTAAACGAAAAATTCCCAATGCTATCCATAGAATTCTGCTTTTTTAATATTTTCTTTCTCTTATTATTTTTTTTCTTCCTTTTAATTGATATTCTGTATGGTGATGATTTGTTTGATGTGATTATATCAGTGTTTAGTTTAGCTAACTCAGGATGCCACACATTTCCAGCACATACCCTTGTATGACGAAGTGGATTCAGTTTTAAGGAGTTGTCGTCATGATCGGAATTCAATGAATGTGAACTCAAATTTCCCCATTTATCTTCTGATGAAGTCTCATTCTGTTTTGAAGTCTTCATATCATTTTTAAAATTTGTAATTTCTTTAAGGTCTAATTTTAAATTTGGTACTTGTTTTTTCATCTTTTCCATATGACTATTGTTGGAAGGTGCGTTTATTCCAGATATTACAGAATCATAGATTGATTCTTGCCCTGAAATTGATTCTTTCCCTGATATTGATTCTTTCGTGCTACTTCCTGTTGCCCCTAAGAACATTGAATCCATGTTAGTACTGGCTGTTATTCCAGAAGCCAAAGATTCCTTTTTAATTTTGTCGCTAATACTGGATCTGACAGAGTCCTTTGTAGTAGTTGTTCCTGTTGTAGAGGACTTCAGTGAGTCTCTCGTTCCAAGAATTTCTGAAACATCATTTATACTGTTACTCCTATAGGCTTCTTTTACATTGATTTGCTGACTTATTTTCTGTTGACATGGCTGTAAAATGACATCATCTTTCATTGTGACATTGTCTATAGCGGTATGTGTATTTTCCATGAACATTTGACCATTTGCATTTTCCATAATTGAAGTAACTTGAAGTCTTGGAGTATCTGGTATGGTTATTGTTTTAAGACTTGCATGTGGTGGCTCTGAAATTTCATAGGCTGAGATTGGCAGAGTAGTGCCAGTTGGACTGCGAGGAGCAACAGGAATATTGGCACAGTTTCCATTCAAACTGGTTTCAGTGACAAATGGATCCACATGATTAAAATTAAAATCAGGATCTTGTGTTATTCGTCTTCTCTCCGTCATCTTCTGTTTCCACAGTTTATAAATGTACACCATATATATTATGGTTGTAGTGAAAAATATTGCTGTGAACACATAACAACCAACAGATTCCACTAAATGGCTATGCTTTTTCGTCCTTCCATGAGAAGTACAGTCATAGGAAAAGACAGATATTGATGTAGGATTTTTTTCTGATGCTTGAATGATACATGTGACAAAAGGTAGAACAAGTATCCAAGAGATAGTTAGGAATATTCTTTTTATTGTCAGTCTATTATTAAAGTCACAAAACTTTCTCTTTAGTTTGTCACATGCCAATATTATTGTTGTTAGGTAGATACATCCCTCTGCATTGAGATGTAAAAACTGATGAAAATGACACAGGTCGACAAATTCATACTTTTTTAGCATAAGGCTGATCCTGACAATTTGTATTGGTGCCAGAACACCACAAACAACTAATCCTGCAATCAACAACTGAACCAAGGTAAATTGTGTCTTCCAGTTCCTACTCCAAATTTTATGTAATGCAGCAAAGATTGAAATAATACCAAGAAACATTGCAACAGAGAGAATAATTACTGCGATTAAAGCTGTTGCTAGATTTTGGTCTTTTGTCATTGTTTCACAAGTAACATTTGTATTATTGCATAAAAACTTTGTCTGGTTTCTCATGATATCAATTTTCAAGTTAACCAACATTCTGGATGATCTAATACAGATTATGTTTATTTAATCTTCCTGTCTTTTTACCATCCTCAATTCAGTTAATGTTGATTTAGGCTATAAAAGAACATAACAAAAATAAGGAAATGGACAAATGTTGATGAAAAAAGAGTTATTAGAATAACATTATTAATAAATAATAAATAAAAGAAATACAAAACTAATTTACTTAACATTCAGCATTATTACAATTTTTTGTTGAAAAATAAAAGAATTTTTTTGTCTTGATAACAACGTAAATCATTGTTTTAATTGAATATAATTTCTCAATTGTCTTAGATCATCAATATAGATCATAAACTTTTTATCAACTTACTGTTTTAAGTAGATGGTTTAGGTGATGATCACAGCCTGTGATTCAGAGAGAAGAATGCAAGGTGTTAATACTGTATCTTATATATACCTTGAAGGAGTGACTTGTTGCTTGCGTGACAGTTGTCAGTAGATTAATATAATAACTGTTAGTTTGATGACTTCGGTAGAATTTATTCATGGTTAGCTTTAATGCTATTCCTGTTTTCACTTTCTCCATTATTTTTCTGTAAGTTTACATTCATTTCTTTAGGAGTGGCATTATCATTATGTTTTTATACGACCCCAAAAATTTTTTGGGATCGTATGATGTCGTCGTCGTCTGAAGACACATTGGTTTCCGGACAATAACTTTAGTTTAAGTGAATGGATCTCTATGAAATTTTTTAAGAAGGTTCAATACCACAAAAGGAAGGTTGGGATTGATTTTGGGGATGATGGTCCCAACCGTTTAGGAATTAGGGGCCCAAAAGGGGCCAAAAACAAGCATTTTTCTAATTCAATAACTTGTGTTTAAGTGTATGGATCTCTCTGAAATTGTACTACAAGGTTCCATACTACAAAGGAAATGCTGGGATCGAGTTTTGGGGTTATTGCTCCAAGGGGGGTTTTAAAAAGTTGGGGGGGGGGGGGGGTGTGTTTCCAATCTTTTTAGATGATTCATATTTTTTTTTTCAAAATTTTTCAAATTTTGAATTTTTGAAAAGTTTCAAGAAGAAATCTTCAATTGCATAGTATTGCGCAATAGATATGTAAGATCTTTGACCACATTTATTTTTGACAATTTTTAACAAAAGTTTTGCATTTTTGTGTTTTATCTATAATAGATAGATAGAAACTTTTAAAAGCAAAAATAATCAGCAAGGCAAGATCTGCAAATAGGTCAGCATAGTTGAAATTGTCATTTGTCTTCTTATAGAAGGTTTTGCGCTTAAATGATAATTTTTACCATATTTTCAGCTGTTTCTTTGTAAACAAAAAATAGACAATAGAGAGAAATTATAAACAGAAATATTATCAGCAATACAAGATCAACAATCATACCGTTTAAAATTGTTAACCAGTTGAAACTTTGTTCCAGCTGCGGGGAAATTAATGGCTTCCTCCATGGAGCAACATTGGTTCAACAGTCACTTAGTTCAATGTTTTATGTTTCAACAAGGGTCTTCTCCAGTGAAAATCACAAATACCTCATTTGCAATCATTTGCATATTAATGTCTGAAATAAAATTGTAAAAATATATTTTTTTTCATTTTTCAATAATTTACTCATATAGATGGACTTTTTTCAGTTAACATTGTCTGGGATTTAATTTTTTGACATGATAAATTTGTTAACATTCATGGATTATTTTACTGACAAATTGACTTACTTTTTACAGTCAACATTACGCTTTTACACTGATAGCAGCAGTTGCTGGCAAGACACAGTGTTCCTAGAACCCTTTACAAATTTTTTAATGAGCATCATTGTAGAATAAACTTTATTTTTGTGATATGAAACTAACTTGAAGTTTAAAAGGCTATTGAACTTATTCATACAGAGAATATTTGAAAGGTTTAGAATAATCGTATGTAAGTGTTAGGATATGTATCCCTTGAAGATGCCCTTAATGTTGTTTGTGCCGATTGCAAAAATATTTCCAAAATCTCAAAATGCCAATGGAAGACAAGCAGAGGAATTACTCCAATACTGTTTTGTAACTGATATTAATGTGCATTAATTTCAAAACGCAATGGTTGCTTCTAAAGTATATTTTGATTTATCTTTGTTTTTTGGCATTGAGAAATCTTTAGTGATCGCATGATTTTCAATGTCTTTGACAAAATGCCTATTAAGTGAGCGTAACAAACGAATGTTAATAATAGCCACATCTGTGCTGTTTTGCAATTGATAACATAGGAATCAAGGTTCGATCTTGGTGCTGTTCTGAATGTTTTCCAATTCTGATAATTTAGTGTCAAAGAAGATCCATTGATTCATCCAATCTTAACAGCTTCATTTGTTTACGCAATTAGATCTTAAGAAATTGGTAAACTGTCAAATTTCTTTAAGGTTAAATTCATTGATGTTCTCAACTTCTCGCTTTGTTTTACTTCCGTCTTATTTAGTTATATAAAATAAGGAGATGTGTATGATTGCCAATGAGATAACTGTCCACCAGATACCACATGACGTAGATGTTAGTGTATTTCTGTATATACTTTCTTGCTAATTATGAAATTATATTAGTTGGGTTGTTCTTTCAAATAATTGTAAAATTGTCTATCACTTTTATTTTATGACATTAATAAAGATGAAAATTAGTGCAGTTCTTCAATCACTTGTAATAACTATGCAATTGTCTGTGATTTATTAATCCAAATGTAGAAGTTGTGCAGATGTCCTTAATCGATTTATCTCATTGATTTCCTAAAAATAGTGAGGTTATTTTAAGTCCCTTCTTATTTTTTTGGCACCCCCTACAATTGTAGACAGCATTATGTTTTGAGGTTTTCCAGTCTGTGCTTGTGTCCATCTGTTTGTCTGTTCATCCCGTATCAGGTTTAATTTTCTTTTTAAGGTAGGTTACAATTTTGGTTCAAGGTGGTCTCATTAACTTAAAACATGTTTTTCTAAGAGATATTAAACAGTGCATGGTAGGTCAAGGTAGTCCTGAAAATGTTGAATTTTCAAAATTGCAGTCAGTGATACTATTTAATGAAGTTTTGTTATCAATTAATTTTAGAATGGTATGAATGTGATTGGTTTTAAACCAGAAGAAGTGACGATGACATTCCAATTAGTAGCCAGTATTCTGAAACTGGGAAATGTTTTATTTCAACCTAAAAGTAACAAGGATGGGACTGATGGCTGTGATCTACCTAATATGTCAGGTAATATAAGCTTTGATCTACTTAATATGTCTGGTAATATAGGCTGTGATCTACCTAATATGTCAGGTAATAATAGGTAGATTGTGATGAAAAATCAAACAGCATGATCAATAGTTATTAGGGCATGTAGGTGAAAGGGATGTAAGAAAACTTTCAATAAAATATACATCTTGTTTATGAGGTTCTAAGACAGTCATCGATAAAAAAAACTAGGAATAAACATGGGATGAGACACTATTGGGGTCCTAATGGGCAGGTATATCTTGATTGATTTACATGTCCCGGTATATGTTCATACAAATGTTCATATTTTACCTTACAATGTGAAACAATGAGATTTACTTCAAAAACTTGGTGTTCATGCTGCAATCTGATTTGGGAAAGTTATAATTTTTCGGTACTTTTTTTCTTCTAAATAACATTTAGCAGTGGTGATATAAGTTAAACCATTCTGTATAATAGAAAACATATTAATGATTCAGGAGAAAGTGATTTGCACAATGAAATCTAAAAGATAAATTGTGTGAATTAAGAACTCGATTCTTTCTTAACAGGATTTTAACCTAAATTAACATAATTTTACAAAAAAAAAAATTGAATTGTTTTTTATATATTAATATAAAATTTAAATTTCCTTAAGTTATGAAGAAATGAATCTTGATTTTACAGGATGATATTATACAAAATTCAATAACAGGTGCCCCAATTACGTTACGTGACTTTACATCGACGTTTTCTCATTATGGCGTATACATGCTGTGATCTATCTAATATGTCAGGTAATATAGGTTGTGATAAACCTAACATGTCAGGTAATAAAGGCTGTTATCTACTTAACATGTCAGGTAATATAGGCTGTTATGTACTTAACATGTCAGGTAATATAGGCTGTTATCTACCTTATATGCCAGGTAAGAAAGGCTGTGATCAACCTGATATGTCAGGTAATATAGGCTGTTATCTACCTAGCATGTCAGGTAATATAGGCTGTGCTCTGCCTAATTTGTCAGGTATTATAGGTTGTGATCAACCTTATATGTCAGGTAATATAGACTTTGATCAACCTGATATGTCAGGTAATATAGGTTGTGATCAACCTAATATGTCAGGTTATATTGGTTGTGATCAACCTAATATGTCAGGTTATAAAGGCTGTGATCAACCTAATATGTCAGGTAATATAGGTTGTGATCAACCTAATATGTCAGGTAATATAGGCTGTGATCAACTTAATATGTCAGGTAATATAGGCTGTGATCAACCTAATATGTCAGGTAATATAGGTTGTGATCAACCTTATATGTCAGGTAATATAGGCTGTGATCTACCTAGCATGTCAGGTAGTATAGGCTGTGCTCTGCCTAATATGTCAGGTAATATAGGTTGTGATCAACCTTATATGTCAGGTAATATAGGCTGTGATCAACCTGATATGTCAGATAATATAGGTTGTGATCAACCTAATATGTCAGGTTATATAGGCTGTGATCAATCTAATATGTCAGATAATGCATGATGTGATCAACCTAATATGTCTGGTAATATAGGCTGTGAACAACCTGATATGTCAGGTAATATAGGCTGTTATCTACCTATTATTTCAGGTAATACATGCTGTGATCTACCTAATACATCAGATAATATAGGCTGTGATCTGCCTTATATGTCAGGTTATATTGGTTGTGATCAACCTAAGATGTCAGATAATATAGACAGATACACCTAATATGTCAGGTTATATAGGCTGTCAAACATGTTAGGTAATTACACAATGTATAGGCTTTACTACCTAATATGTCAGGTAAAATAGGCTGTGATCTACCTAATATGTCAGGTAATAAAGGCTTTGATCAACCTAATATGTCAGATAATATAGGCTGTGATCTACCTAATACATCAGATAATATAGGCTGTGATCTACCTAATATGTCAGGTAATACATGCTGTGATCTACCTAATACATCAGATAATATAGGCTGTGATCTACCTAATACATCAGATAATATAGGCTGTGATCTACCTGATATGTCAGGTAATACATGCTGTGATCTACCTAATACATCAGATAAAATAGGCTGTGATCTGCCTTATATGTCAGGTTATATTGGCTGTCAAACATGTTAGGTAATTACACAATGTATAGGCTGTGATCTACCTAATATGTCAGGGAATAAGAAAATGCGTAAAATGCTTCTGTATAACTAATTTATCTTGTGGACAACAGACCCTCAGTTAAAGTCTCATCATTTAAACTCTACATGTCATTTTTTTTACAGAAATCAGTGATGTCTGTGAGATGTTAGGATGTTCAACAGATCTGATGTGTGAAGCTTTGACCACACGTACTGTAGAGGCTAAAGGTGATAAGGTCAAAAGAGATTTAGAGGTTGCTGAGGTGTGTTTTTCAATTTGTAAAATATTGTATTGAATCTTTGAACCTGTCATTGCAAAATCCCAATTGATTTAAGCAACCACCATTATTGTCGAGCCTGCGACTTTTGTCGCAGAAAGCTCGACATAGGGATAGTGATCCTGGGGCGGCTCGCGGCGTTAGCTAACTTCTTAAAATCTTTATATTTTAGAAACTAGAAGACCTGGATGCTTCATACTTTGTATATGAATGCCTCATGTTACGAAGTTTCCGCCAGTCACATGTTTAATGTCCTTGACCTCATTTCCATGGTTCAGTGACTACTTGAAAAAAAAGTTTAAGATTTTTTGTAATGTTAAATTCTCTCTTATTATAAGTAATAGGATAACTATATTTGGTATGTGCGTACCTTGCAAGGTCTTCATGCCCGTCAGACAGTTTTCACTTGACCTCGACCTCATTTCATGGATCAGTGAACAAGGTTAAGTTTTGGTGGTCAAGTCCATATCTCAGATACTATAAGCAATAGGTCTAGTATATTAGGTGTATGGAAGGACTGTAAGGTGTACATGTCCAACTGGCAGGTGTCATCTGACCTTGACCTCATTTTCATGGTTCAGTGGTTATAGTTAAGTTTTTGTGTTTTGGTCTATTTTTCTTATACTGTATGCAATAGGTCTACTATATTTGGTGTATGGAATGATTGTAAGGTGTACATGTCTATCTGGCAGGTGTCATCTGACCTTGACCTCATTTTCATGGTTCAGTGATCAAAGTTAAGTTTTTGAGTTTTGGTCTTTTTTTTCTAATACTATATGCAATAGTTCAACTATATTTGGTGTATCGAAATATTTTATGATCTTTATGTCAGTCATGCAGGTTTCAATTGACCTTGACCTCATTTTCAAGGTTCATTGCTCAGTGTTAAGTTTTTGTGTTTTGGTCTGTTTTTCTTAAACTATAAGCAATAGGACAATTATATTTGTTGTATGGAAGAATTGTTAGCTGTACATGCCTGCCTAGCATGGTTCATCTGACCTTGACCTCATTTTCATGGTTCATTGGTCAATGTTTAGTTTACTTGGTTAATGTTAAGTTTATGTGACAGTTGTAATAAAGCTTTATATTTAGGACTATCAACATAATATCAGTGATTTGTAAAGAAGGCGAGACATTTCAGCGTGTGCACTCTTGTCTGAAAAAAAGTATATGATTTTTTAAGTTATATCATTCAATAGACCAGTTCTTGTTTGATTTCTTTCTTTCCAAAAAGCCAGCTCTTAAATTTACTACAGTGTCATTATACAACCTCTCCCCCCTCCCCACCCCAAGTATATAGTGATTGGGCTGTCAGTCCATTCCACTTTTATTTCCATTTCTTAACAGTAGGATGTAAAACTTTCATAGAATCTTACTCACCTCCTATTTCATTCCTTCATTTGAATGATTTTTGGGGTTTACATGGGCATGACATGGGCTTTCTCATGTCTGCACTCTACAATACATGTCTGTATTCACTTCTCCTCCTAAACCCCTTATCAGAATTAAATGAAGTGATCTCAGAATCAAAACCATATAAGGCCGTTTTACATCAATATGGAAAAAAAATGTAAAAATATAAATGCAAAAATAAATATTACAGAGTCAATTTGTATTTTAGTATAGGTTATAAAAATTCATCTTGAACATTTTCTAAGTGTGAAAAAAAATGGCAGAGTCAATTTATATTTTTAGTATAAGTTATAAAAATTTATCTTGAACATTTTCAAATTGTAAAAAAAAAATGGCAGAGTCAATTTATATTTTTAGTATAGGTTATAAAAATTCAACATCTTGAACTTTTTCAAAGTGTGAAAAAAAAATGGCAGAGTCAATTTATATTTTTAGTATAAGTTATAAAAATCTATCTTGAACATTTTCAAAAAAGTGAAAAAGAAAAATGGCAGAGTCAATCATATTTTTAGTATAGGTTATAAAAATTCATCTTGTAGAATAAACATCTAGAATAAACATCTAGTGGATCTATGGTAAGATACATGTCATTTCCTTGTTAAGAAACAATTTAATTTTTTCTTCATAGGCAATATATGCAAGAGATGCTTTATGTAAAGCTATTTATAGCAGACTGTTCTCATGGCTAGTATCCAGGATTAATGACAGTATTAGAGTAAGTACAAATAGTGTATGTTCTCCTATAATTATACTCTCTCTAAATTTAAAGACCATTTTTAAATTGGAAGGAAAAGTTAGAATCCATGGCATTAATGTACAGAATATGTCTTTAACACCCTCTATTAATTAAGTCCATCTCTTGAAACTATGGATCTGTTATTTAGTTGGCCTCAGTCTGTAAGTAACTATGTACAATGTTTGAATTGTTATTTTACCCTTATTTCAATGATAGACTTTAGCATTTCATTTGAATATTCCAAAAGAAATGAAATTTTACATCTGGAGAATAAACTTGTATTGTATTATGTCTAATCTGTATGAGTTTTTCTGAAAAGAAAAATGTTTTTTTGTGCAAAGCCAAAATTAAGAATAATGAAAGTTCTTTAAATAAAAAGGGACTTTGAATTTTAAACACAAATTACTTTGTTTTCCACAAAACATTGCTGATTTTGATAAAAATATTTTTTCTATATTAAGCAATTATTTGTCAGATGTCTTGATGTGGATTAAAAGTTTAAGTGAAAATGGGTAAAACACAGCAACCAAACAACTGAATGTATTCAAGTTATGTATACAACATTTAGTATAAGCAGTCAACAATATCAGATAGAAAGCTTTATATCTCCTCATTCATGGTAAGTTAGGAATTAAAAAAATGGGAAAATCAACACAGACAAAGTTACTATCACTGGGAATTAAATATGAATTTAACTAGTTTTGTGAGTTTTCAACATTTCCCCTATATTAGATTAAAAATCATTTGAAAGATTATTCAATACTTTTAAAGTTGTATTGAGGATCAAGTCTATCTGTCCTAAGACAATAGAATAACTTTTCATTATAGGTGAAGTCCAAACAGAAAACCAAAGCAATGGGAGTGTTAGATATTTATGGTTTTGAAGTATTTAAGGTGAGTTTGTATCCAGCTGTGTAGCTAAATTATCAGTCATGGTAAAAAGGTTAACAGATATAGAAGTTAGAAATTATGATAGTTCCACCATTTTGTTTTCTTGCCTTTAGTTAGACGCCATAGAAATGTTGTTGTCTTGATATATTTGAACCTGGCAATAAATTATTTGGTACTTAGACAATATGATTTTTAATATGAATCCTAAAATATAAGGTCCTATGTCAATTATATATAACATCTAGCTTGTCAATGCTTGTAGTAACACAGATTTTGTCACAAATAGAACTTACCAAAATAATATCTGTTACAAACTGGCCATACCAGCATGGTCACATAATAATAAATTAAATAAGTTAGTAAGTTGAAACCTATCTCGTATATTAGTAAAGTCTTGTCCTTGTCTATCGTTCATGGATTAGAGTTAACCAACTACCCAAGAGAATCTTACACAGTTCATAATCAGTGGTTTTCTTTGATTATATCTAAGTGTGTTTCTACTTTAAAGTAGTTGATGTTGAAAGAAGAATTTTGGTAGTATCTGTTTATTTTGGTCACAGCAGGTCTTGACTTTAAGAGCTTGTCATATAATATAAACATATTTAATTTGATCACAGCTGGTCTCAACTATAAGAGCATGTCATATAATATAAACATATTTAATTTGATCGCAGCTGGTCTCAACTATAAGAGCTTGACATATGATATAAACATATTTAATTAGATCGCAGCTGGTCTCAACTGTAAATGCTTGTCATATAATATAAAAATATTTAATTCGATCACAGCTGGTCTCAACTATAAGAGCTTGTCATATAATGTAAACATATTTAATTTGATCACAGCCGGTCTCAACTATAAGAGCTTGACATATGATATAAACATATTTAATTAGATCACAGCAGGTCTTGACTTTAAGAGCTTGTCATATAATATAAACATATTTAATTTGATCACAGCTGGTCTCAACTATAAGAGCTTGACATATGATATAACGATATTTAATTTGATCGCAGCTGGTCTCAACTGTAAGAGCTTGTCATATAATATAAAAATATTTAATTTGATCGCAGCTGGTCTCAACTATAAGAGCTTGTCATATAATATAAACATATTTAATTTGATTGCAGCTGGTCTCAACTATAAGAGCTTGTCATATAATATAAACATATTTAATTTGATGGCAGCTGGTCTCAACTATAAGAGCTTGTCATATAATATAAACATATTTGATTTGATAGCATCTGGTCTCAACTTTAAGAGCTTGTCATATAATATAAACATATTTAATTTGATCGCAGCTGGTCTCAACTGTAAGAGTTGGTCATATAATATAAACATATTTTATTTGATCGTAGCTGGTCTCAACTGTAAGAGCTTGTCATATAATATAAACATATTTAATTTGATCGCAGCTGGACTCAACTATAAGAGCTTGACATATGATATAAACATTTGTCTATTGTTGGAGATTGTATGTTGACCCCTAGACATTTTCTACTTGTTTTATGATGTTTGCTGTCTTGAAGATGTACTGGTATACACCTCTACTCCTTTTACCCATGCTTATTCATAAGAGTCAAGAAAGGCATATTATGCAAATTAAGATGGATATTTATTAAAGTTTATGTAAGTTTTTTAATAGTTTTGTATTCATAATGTTGACAAGTAAAAGAAATAAAAAAATAAAATCATTTATTTTTCAGACAAATGGATATGAACAGTTTATAATTAATTACTGCAATGAGAAATTACAACAGATATTTATAGAAAGAACATTGAAAGAAGAACAAGAGGAATATGTGAAGGAGGTGAGAATTATGAGTAGAAGAATCTTTGTATTTCTAATCATGGCACCTTTATTGTAAACATGTTGTTTTCAAACAGTAACAACTACTCCAAAATATGGAGAAGCAACAAATAACAATTATAAATTCTTTTGTTGACTTGACGACCAGGGATCCAATCCATAGCAGCTAGCCAAATGCTAGCCTGCTCTACAAAAGCTTTGAGGCTATTAACAAAAAAGAGAAAGTGATCTTTATTAAATCTTATTTATTCAATATCTATAGATGCCATATAAGTATACTGTGGATCCATTGATTTTCATGGGTACCAGTTTTCATGGATTGAGGAAAATTTGCATTTTCGTGGATATTTGATTTCATTGTTTTTCAAAAATCTGCATATAATGATACAGCAAATTTGTAATTTGTTGAACATTTAAATTCGCAGTTTCCCTGTACCCACGAAATCCACAAAAATTGGTATCCAACGAATAATAATGAATCTACAGTATTGCTTTGAATTATTGAGATAAAAAGTTACTTTTGAATTACCTCAAATAAACATATGTTTAAAATTGATGAAATATTTTGTAGGGAATAGAGTGGATTCATGTAGAGTATTTTAACAATGCTGTTATCTGTGACCTTATAGAAAAGGTAAAATTAGCTTGATTAAGATATATATTAAAATAGGGTTTATACTCCTAAAACTGGGTCTTCATTGATAAAATACATACTTTTTATGGATGCTGATGAATTAATATCCAGCTTTTATAAAAACTGAATATTTATCAGTTAAGTGATTTAAAAAATGTACTGAAATTTATTATTCCTATCAATTTATCAGACATTTTTTTTAAAGATGCAGTAGGTATTGTTTCTTAGATTTTTACTGCCAGAAATGTGGCTTAGATATGTATAGAAATTAATTCTTTGGTTTTACCTTTAATTCTGTTTCTTATAAAACCAAGATGGCATACAGTGATATTTTACCCAAGTTGACATCTTGTATTGTACAACAGGGTTAAAGCAACATTTGAGACACTGTGACCTAAATGTCATACTTGATTGACTAGTATTTTTTGTGTTAAGGGTAATTTCTTGGTAACCAATGTTGATGTGTAAATTGTTTTGTAATACTTATATTCCCTCTAGGGATGTCCATACAGATTCACATGATATTGACAGTTTTGTGAATTTGAAATACGTTGTAGAACGAGATGAAAAGCCTGAAAAATACATAATTTTATGACTAGTGTTCATTAAATACAGGAGTAAATGAACAAGTCCCTGTTCAGAGTTAATTCTCTTTTACTGGGGTCACTAAGAAAATCAAGATGTAAAACTTCAAAACTTTTTTTCTAAATAGCATTTTACAATTTGTCCTTCTTGTTTTAGTTGGTTTACAAATGACTTGTTATTAACTCTTGCATGACAGTGATGTAAGTGTGTTCACTTTTTAGGAGCTTTACAATGTAAACATTATATTCTTAAGCTTGGAATACTTGAATTTTCCTAATAGATATATTCCCTGACTACAAGCAAACAATACTTAATACTTATAAGCATGGGACATAATTGACTGCAGCATGTAAAAATTACTTCCCTTGACTGCAGCATGTTACATAGTTATTTCCCTTTGATTGCTGCATGTTATGAATGCATTGTTGATTTGATTACAGAGTCCTAGCAGAAAAGTTCATGTAAGTCTGCTGCCATAATATTATTTTATGTACCCAGCTGAACTGTAGCAAAATATCCTATATGCGTAGAAATTTTATTTGTTCCACATAACAGTTACTAATTAGGCAGGTTAGAATGCTGTATGATTACAAAGTTTGTGCCAGAATGGAAATGATTAAAGCTAAACTATTTTTAAATTTCTAATGTTTAGATTAATATTAACTGAAGCTAATCCTTGAAAATTGCAGCATATCAACAGCTGACATGGAATGTACCAGGACTCATTTCAAATGAGGTCAAATTATATATTAATTTTTGTTCAATTTAGAAGAATATTGTATATACTTCATATTTTGTCAGTTTTAATATGATAGAAAATTTTAACTGTTCATTAAAAAGTTTCAATAGAGAAGCCCCTCTATAACAGAAAAAGGAAGTACAATTTAAATTTTAAATTCACCTCAATTTCAAAACCAAATTAAGGTGTCATACCACCAATTCAAGAACACTATATTCAACCATTTTTTTCTATTGTCAAAATTAAATTTTTAAATTCACCTCAATTTCAAAACCAAATTAAGGTGTCATACCACCAATTCAAAAACACTATATTCAACCATTTTTTTCTATTGTCAAAATCAGAATTTTAAATTCACCTCAATTTCAAAACCAAATTAAGGTGCCATACCACCATGAATTCAAAAACACTGTATATTCAACCAATTTTTTCTGTCTTTTTATTTTATCTTGAGTTTAACTACTTCATATTAAAGAACCATTTATAGCCGTACATGCATTGCCTTTCTATATGCCAATTTTCAACCAATGTTTAGATTCTTGTAGTGACGGATGACCAACATAGCACTATGGTTTTCTGAAAACTTTTAATAACTGAACTATGTAGCACATCTATCCTAAAATTGTAAATCCAGGGACAATTAAAGTTGGGCTCAAAATGGTCAAAATATATTTCTCATTCTGACAGCAAAAGTTTCTTTTATGCAAATTTATTTGTTAGTTTTAGTAAAAAAGAAAACAACTTCAAAATCACTTTGTTTTATCAGAGTAGGACTACAAATGAATTGTAAATAGATTATTCTGACTATGGTAAATCTTTTCTGCCTAAGAATCTCCAATATTTTTCAGAGTTTTTAAGATTTCTCCTAATTGTTTGTGTGGTATTTGTCTTGGTGTCTGGTGTGGTTAAATGTTATCTCTGTCTGTGTATTGTCTTCTGGAATCTGTAAAGGCTTTGTATTGTAGAAAGACAAAGAAAGGGAATGATTGTACATATATTCTAGAAATATTTTTATATATTTATTTATTCATATCACATTTAAGAGAAAGAAATTTGACAAACTATGTTATGAGCTTCTTTACCAAAAAAGTTTCTTTTAAAAATAAGTTGATTTTAAAATGGTATGTCTGATTTACCAGGAGTGTTTCAATATTTGTTACTATGGTTAAACTTGAAAAACTGAAGAAAATATTATTGAAGGCTATGTTGTTGGTTTATTTTATTCTTTTTAATTTTGTCATTTCGAGTGACACTAATTTTAATTGTGGTGTATAAAAATTAGAATATTTCTAATATAGATAAATGCTTTTAATTTACAGCTCTCTGCATCATCCTGTCATTTTGGTAGAAATCTTAGTAATTCAGAACTAATCTAGAGTACTAACAATTAGTTAATGTAGTCATATACTGTTTTTTTATTTCGTATATATGGGGAAAGGTTTCTTTAAAAAAAATGGTAAAATCTTCCCATAACTAACGTATATCGATACAATATAACTCAGAAAACATACATTGTTATTGTAGGAAGAAAAACCTGTCAGGTACTGATGTAAACCCCACAACTTATTCTGCATGTATCACCTGTTCGTATTTAATTTCAATAATGTTTAAAAAGGGAGAACCATTCATAATCTCTGTCAAACTTTAGAAAAATTGTTATAGTGGAGGGAATAGGTATTTTAGTGTAAATATAGATATAACTTTATTTTTTGGGGTTTTGATATTTGCAGATTTTGTTGTTTCCGAAATTGGAAGACACTGCTTACTTTGATATCTGGTACCTGTTGAAAATTACAAGTTTAAAAGCCCACATACTTATGCTGATTTTTTTATAAGAGAAAACAGTATACACAATAACGATACTTTCACAGAATCAAATCACTTAACTCTCTCAACTCTCAAGATACAAGTTTAAAATAAGCATGTACAAGACTATTTAGGTTACATTGTTCATACCTTTTGTATCTATTTATATGGAAAACTGGCAGTCACATATTGAAAAATATTGGGTTTTCTCCAAGTAATGTTCTCATAAACCAAATATGAAATCTTCTAGAATCATGGATAAATATAGATTGATAACTCTGCATGACTATCCTGATTTGTATTTATAATTTGTTTACTAATACTGGCATTATAAAGGTTTTATTATGTTATTTATATTCACGTTCCTGTCAAATTTCAACATGTATATATTACACAGATTGTACATGTACCTATAACCACAGTTGCATGATAAAAAGGACATTTAATGATGATTTTCATCATACTACATATTATTATGAATTGCTTGTCAACAGATTAAAAACTATTCAGTTCAATTAAAACACATGTATTATTCAAGAGATATTTGAAAGCAAATTACTCTTTGGGATCAAAGTTGTTATGGTGAACTTTTTTTTTATCTTGCCTGCTATGAAAGTTACTGAATGTGAGACTTGCATATTACCTTTCAGATGGCACTAATAGCAACATCTGTAATATATAAGTTACCAAACTTTCACTTATACATGTAAGCTATCAAACATTTTTTGGAGGTTGTTCATGCTGGTCTATGTCACATGACATTGACTTTTTTGTCATACTTCAACCCTTTGGTTTAAGTTTTGGGGCTTAGTTTTCAGGATAAGGCCTGTTCCTCAATAAATATGCAATTATTTGTCAACAATATTTGGTATGTGGTTATAAGGAATTGTTTTAGCCTGAAATATGTTATATAACCAAGATAACTAGAACAGTACATTAGAGATTTTTTGAATTTTAATGAATTGGTACAAGATTATAACACTTTTAGCTGTAAAATGATTTGATTTTTATCTGATTTCTGAAATTGTAATGATTCAGTTTTGTAGCTCAGTACTGGTATATTAGTCATGTTAGGTCATAATGTGTGGTTATTGATACACACATGGTTTTCTTTTGGCCACTACTAGATTAAGCCCTGTTAGGTAATATTTTGACATTTTAATGTTTGTGATCTTCAGCAAAACACTGGTACATGTATTTAAGTAGGCCATTTTAGGTAATGCTACTATATTTAGATATTTCTGTGTTTAGCTCAGCTATTTAAGGTAATGCTATTATATTTAGATATTTCTGTGTTCAGCTAAGCTATTTAAGGTAATGCTATTATATTTAGATATTTCTGTGTTTAGCTCAGTACTGGTTTATTAACCACATTAAGTAGTATTCTGCCAGTTTTATATTTCTGACTGTTTGATATACATGTACTGATATTTGAATGTTTCTGTTTTTAGCCTAACACTGGTATATTAGCCATGTTAGATGAAGAGTGTATGAGACCAGGGAACGTGACAGATATGACATTCCTGGAGAAAATGAATGTCAGCTGTGCTACACACCCACATTATGAGAGTCGAGGATGTAGAAAAAATCAGTCGGACAAAACTTTGGATATTTATGTGTTCAGATTAAAACATTTTGCTGGAAGTGTAAGAATTAATTTCTTTTATGTCCATTGATATATTTTAAGTTCACTCTTGTTGAAAATTCATTAAGAACTTTTCATCAGTAAAAAAACATCAGTGTCTTTTGCATGAGGATACTTTTTACAGTAGATTAATCTTTTATGAAATAAATTGAATATTTTTCATACTCTAGAAACATGCATGAAAATCATCCATTCTGATTGCAAGTACATCAAAATCATATTTTTCTTTTAGGTTGTTTACAAAGTGAATGGTTTTATTGACAAAAACAATGATCTCCTGTTCAGAGATTTGTCTCAAGCCATGTTCAAGTGTAAACATAAATTGTTGCCAAGCTTTTTCCCAGAAGGAGACCCAAAGCTCAAATCCAGAAAAAGACCTCCAACAGCAGGGTCACAGTTTAAGGTAATGATATCTTCAGGTCAAGTCTAAAAAATGTATAAAGATATACAGATTTGTCCCAAGTAAAAATTAATTATAATTATTAAAATTCAATGCTACAGCATCAAATTGACTGATGAGTTGAGGAAGTCAATAAGTTTCAGGGGAGATAACTTTTAACTTGAGTAAAAACATGTAATGTCCAACTATTTTATACCACTCTAGGAATAGGGCTTTTATTGCAAACATGTCCCTACTTCATCAGTTCAACAAATATTTTTGTCATACCTTATTTTCAGTAACTACTGAACATTTTTACTTCATATTTGTTCAGCAGCTGGACAGTAATGAGTTGTAACGTGTGGGAGCTTGTCTGATCTGTCAGACACCCATCGTCCTATTTTCCAATTCTTTGAATTATGAATGAAACTTCCTGATTCCTGTTTTTATTTTTTTATGACATTATAACATAAAACTTGTAAAATAGAACATAACACAAAAAGACTAATTGAATAGGTTGGATATACAATGGTAAAATTCTAGTGAATTAGTTTTAAGAATAATTTTAATGTTACAGCTACTTTTATGTGACCCCTCTCTGCATACAAGATGTTCCTGCCTTTATGCCAAAATAAATGTTTAATTCATTGTAAAAAATCTTTTGTTCTTATAGGCTTCAGTGACAGAATTAATGGACAATTTACTATCAAAGAGTCCCAACTATATTAGATGCATCAAGGTTAGTCTATTGTTTTAAAAAATTAGTGCAGTGTCATTATACGACCGCAAAAAAATTTTTGTGGTCGTATATTGGTATGACGTTGGCGTCGGCGTCGTCGTCGTCGTCGTCTGGCGTCGTCCGGCGTCGTCCGAAGACACATTGGTTTTCGCACTCTAACTTTAGTTTAAGTGAATGGATCTCTATGAAATTTTACCACAAGGTTCAATACCACAAAAGGAAGGTTGGGATTGATTTTGGGGGTTATGGTAAAGGAATAAGGGGCCAAAAAGGGGCCAAAAATAAGCATTTTTGTAACTTCCAGACATAACTTGTGTGTTAGTGTATGGATCTCTCTGACATTGTACCACAAGGTTCCATATCACAAAAGGAATGCTGGGATTGATTTTGGGTGTAATTGCATCAAAATTTTAGGAATTAGGGGCAAAAAAAGGGGCAAAAAACAAGCATTTTTCTAGTTTCATAACAATAACTTGTGTGTAAGTGTATGGATCTTCCTGAAATTGTACTACAAGGTTCCATATCACAAAGGGAAAGCTGGAATTGAGTTTGGGGGTAATTGCCGAAACGTTTAGGAATTGGGGGCCAAAAAGGGGCCAAAAATAAGCATTTTTCTAGTTTCCAGACAATAACTTGTGTTCAAGTGTATGGATCTCTCTGAAATTGTACTGCAAGGTACCATACCACAAAGGGAAGGCTGGGATTGATGATGGGGGTAATTGCCTCAATATTTTAGGAATTAGGGGCCAAAAAGGGGCAAAAAACAAGCATTTTTCTAGTTTCAGGACAATAACTTGTGTGTAAGTGTATGGATCTTTCTGAAATTGTACTACAAGGTTCCATATCACAAAGGGAAAGCTGGATTTGAGTTTGGGGGTAATTGCCCTTAACGTTTAGGAATTTGGGGCCAAAAAGGGGCCAAAAAACACATTTTTCTAGTTTCCAGACAATAACTTGTGTTCAAGTGTATGGATCTCTCTGAAATTGTACTGCAAGGTACCAATCCAAAAAGGGAAGGCTGGGATTGAGTTTGGGGGTGATGAATCATAAGGGGGTTAAAAAAATTGGGGGGGGGGGATTTTTTTTTTTTTCCTTTTTTTTTTCTTTTAAAATTTTCCATTTTAAGTTGGTTATTTCTGATTTATATTTAAAAGCAACTAATAATGATATGGTAGGAGATACACACCAAACAGGATGTGTAAATTATTATATAATACGTATTGTGCAATAGCAAGAAATTTTCAATTGTGCAGTATTGCACAATAGCAAGAAATCTTCAATTGCACAGTATTGTGCAATAGCAAGAAATCTTCAATTGCACAGTATTGCGCAATAGCAAGAAATATCCAATAGCACAATATTGCGCAATAGCAAGAAATTGTCAATTGTACAGTATTGCGCAATAGCAAGAAATATTTAATTGCACAGTATTGTGCAAAAGAAGATACTTCGTTTAAATTGCTTATTTCTTGACCAATTTCAATGGGGTTTTATTCTTGAATTCTTGGGTTTCTTTAATATGCTGAATATAACCGTGTATTTAGTTTTTGGATTTTGGGCCCCGTTTTTAAATTGGTCCACATTGAGGTCCAAAGGGTCCAAAATTAAACTTTGTTTGATTTCATCAAAAATTGAATTATTGGGGTTCTTTGATATGCTGAATCTAAACATGTATTTAGATTTTTGATTATGGGCCCAGTTTTCAAGTTGGTCCAAATCGAGGTCCAAAGGGTCCAAAATTAAACTTTGTTTGATTTCATCAAAAATTGAATTATTGGGGTTCTTTGATATGCCGAATCTAACCATGTATTTAGATTCTTAATTTTTGGTTCCGTTTTCAAATTGGTCTACATTAAGGTCCAAAGGGTCCAAAATTAAACTTAGTTTGATTTTAACAAAAATTGAATTCTTAGGGCTCTTTGATATGCTGAATCTAAACATGTATTTAGATTTTTGATTATGGGCCCAGTTTTCAAGTTGGTCCAAATCGGGGTCCAAATTAAACTTTGTTTGATTTCAACAAAAATTGAATATATTGGGTTCTTTGAAATGCTGAATCTAACCATGTATTTAGATTTTTGATTTTTGGGCCGCGTTATCAACTTTGGCCACATTGAGGTCAAAAGGGTCCAAAATTAAACTTTGTTTGATTTCATCAAAAATTGAATTCTTGGGGTTCTTTGATATGCTGAATCTAACCATGTATTTAGATTTTGGATATTGGACCATAATAGGTGAATGTCCAATTTAAAATTTTTAAGTTCTTAGACCACATTCATTCTGTGTCAGAAACCTATGCTGTGTCAAATATTTAATCACAATCCAAATACAAAGCTGTATCAAGCTTGAATGTTGTGTCCATACTTGCCCCAACTGTTCAGGGTTCGACCTCTGCGGTCGTATCAAGCTGCGCCCTGCGGAGCATTTTATTTTTAAGCTTAATCGGATTTTGATGCCCTTTTTATACGACCGCAAAAATTGAAAATTTTTTGGTCGTATATTGGTATGACGTTGGCGTCGTTGTCGTCGTCGTCGTCGTCTGGCGTCGTCCGGCGTCGTCCGAAGACACATTGGTTTTCGCACTCTAACTTTAGTTTAAGTGAATGGATCTCCATGAAATTTTACCATAAGGTTCAATACCACGAAAGGAAGGTTGGGATTGATTTTGGGGGTTATGGTACCAACAGTTAAGGAATTAGGGGCCAAAAAGGGGCCAAAGATAAGCATTTTTGTAATTCCAGACAATAACTTGTGTGTAAGTGTATGGATCTCTCTGACATTGTACCACAAGGTTCCATATCAGAAAGGGAAGGCTGTAATTGATTTTGGGGGTAATTGCCTCAAAATTTTAGGAATTAGGGGCCAAAAAAGGGGCAAAAAACAAGCATTTTTCTAGTTTCATGACAATAACTTGTGTGTAAGTGTTTGGATATTTCTGAAATTGTACTACAAGGTTCCATATCACAAAGGGAAAGCTGGAATTGAGTTTGGGGGTAATTGCCTGAAACGTTTAGGAATTGGGGGCCAAAAAGGGGCCAAAAATAAGCATTTTTCTAGTTTCCAGACAATAACTTGTGTTCAAGTGTATGGATCTCTCTGAAATTGTACTGCAAGGTACCATACCACAAAGGGAAGGCTGGGATTGAGTTTGGGGGTGATGAATCATAAGGGGGTTCAAAAAATTTGGGGGGGGGGATTTTTTTTTTTTCTTTTTTTTTCTTTTTTTCCTTTTTTTTTTCTTTTAAAATTTTCCATTTTAAGTTGGTTATTTCTGATTAATATTTAAAAGCAAATAATAATGATATGGTAGGAGTTACACACCAAACAGGATGTGTAAATTATTATATAATAAGTATTGTGCAATAGCAAGAAATTTTCAATTGCACAGTATTGCACCATTGCAAGAAATCTTCAATTGCACAGTATTGCGCAATAGCAAGAAATCTTCAATTGCACAGTATTGCGCAATAGCAAGAAATATCCAATAGCACAATATTGCGCAATAGCAAGAAATTGTCAATTGTACAGTATTGCACAAAAGCAAGAAATATTCAATTGCACAGTATTGTGCAAAAGAAGATACTTCGTATAAATTGCTTATTTCTTGATCAATTTCAATGGGGTTTTATTCTTGAATTCTTGGGGTTCTTTAATATGCTGAATCTAACCGTGTATTAAGTTTTTGGATTTTGGGCCCCGTTTTTAAATTGGTCTACATTAAGGTCAAAAGGGTCCAAAATTAAACTTAGTTTGATTTTAACAAAAATTGAATTATTGGGGTTCTTTGATATGCCGAATCTAACCGTGTATTTAGATTCTTGATTATGGGCCCAGTTTTCAAGTTGGTCCAAATCGGGGTCCAAAATTAAACTTTGTTTGATTTCAACAAAAATTGAATATATGGGGTTCTTTGATATGCTGAATCTAACCATGTATTTAGATTTTTGATTTTTGGGCCCCGTTATCAACTTTGTCCACATTGAGGTCAAAAGGGTCCAAAATTAAACTTTGTTTGATTTCATCAAAAATTGAATTCTTGGGGTTCTTTGATATGCTGAATCTAACCATGTATTTAGATTTTTTATTTGTGGACCCGCTATCAAATTGGTTCATATTGAGGTCAAAAGGGTCCAAAATTAAACTTTGTTTGATTTCATCAAAAATTGAATTATTGGGGTTCTTTGATATGCCAAATCTAACCGTGTATTTAGATTTTTAATTTTGGGTCCCGTTTTTAAATTGGTCTACATTAAGGTCCAAAGGGTCCAAAATTAAACTTAGTTTGATTTTAACAAAAATTGAATTCTTGGGGTTCTTTGATATGCTGAATCTAAACATGTGTTTAGAATTTTGATTATGGGCCCAGTTTTCAAGTTGGTCCAAGTTGGGGTCCAAAATTAAACTTTGTTTGATTTCAACAAAAATTGAATATATGGGGTTCTTTGATATGCTGAATCTAAACATGTATTTAGATTTTAGATTTTTGGCCCAGTTTTCAAGTTGGTCCAAATTGGGGTCCAAAATTAAACTTTGTTTGATTTCAACAAAAATTGAATATATGGGGTTCTTTGATATGCTGAATCTTACCATGTATTTAGATTTTTTATTTGTGGACCCGCTATCAAATTGGTTCATATTGAGGTCAAAAGGGTCCAAAATTAAACTTTGTTTGATTTCATCAAAAATTTAATTATTGGGGTTCTTTGATATGCCAAATCTAACCGTGTATTTAGATTTTTAATTTTGGGTCCCGTTTTTTAAATTGGTCTACATTAAGGTCCAAAGGGTCCAAAATTAAACTTAGTTTGATTTTAACAAAAATTGAATTTTTGGGGTTCTTTGATATGCTGAATCTAAACATGTGTTTAGATTTTTGATTATGGGACCAGTTTTCAAGTTGGTCCAAGTTGGGGTCCATAATTAAACTTTGTTTGATTTCAACAAAAATTGAATATATGGGGTTCTTTGATATGCTGAATCTAAACATGTATTTAGATTTTTGATTTTTGGCCCAGTTTTCAAGTTGGTCCAAATTGGGGTCCAAAATTAAACTTTGTTTGATTTCAACAAAAATTGAATATATGGGGTTCTTTGATATGCTGAATCTTACCATGTATTTAGATTTTTTATTTTGTAGGCCCGCTATCAAATTGGTTCATATTGTGGTCAAAAGGGTCCAAAATTAAACTTTGTTTGATTTCATCAAAAATTGAATTATTGGGGTTCTTTGATATGCCAAATCTAAACGTGTTTTTAGATTTTTAATTTTGGGTCCCGTTTTTTAAATTGGTCTACATTAAGGTCCAAAGGGTCCAAAATTAAACTTAGTTTGATTTTAACAAAAATTGAATTCTTGGGGTACTTTGATATGCTGAATCTAAACATGTGTTTAGATTTTTGATTATGGGACCAGTTTTCAAGTTTGTCCAAGTTGGGGTCCAAAATTAAACTTTGTTTGATTTCAACAAAAATTGAATATATGGGGTTCTTTGATATGCTGAATCTAACCATGTATTTTGATTTTGGACATTGGACCATAATAGGTAAATTAAAAAAATTGAAGTTCTTAGACCACATTCTTTCTGTGTCAGAAACCTATGCTGTGTCAAATATTTAATCACAATCCAAATTCAGAGCTGTATCAAGCTTGAATGTTGTGTCCATACTTGCCCCAACTGTTCAGGGTTCGACCTCTGCGGTCGTATCAAGCTGCGCCCAGCGAAGCATTTTATTAACATTTTAAATCAAAGACTGGCGATAACAATAAAGTATTAAAGCAGCAAAATATTTGCATCCAAACTAATTTAGAATGCTTGAAGAACATGGATTGAAGAAATGGTTAGGAAACAAAACATAGTTACCTTGGTAACTTTAAAAAAAAAATTAAATTTACAAATCTGTTGGTGCATTAAAAAAATTCATAACCAGTTGCAATTAGATTAAAAACTTTTGAAAATTTAATTCTAGGTACTGTCTAATGAAGATAATTTTGGGATACATCTTATGTATCATTTAGCAGTATTTCATTGCCTAATAGAATACATGTTGATATTTTACAGCCAAATGATTTTAAGAAAAGCAATCAGTTGGATTTGAAGATTGTGGAACATCAAGTCAGATATTTAGGGTAGGAGTTTTATTTTTAGATACAGGAAAATGTTTGTTCATTTAAAAGTATATGTTTCAATGGTTATGTTCATGACCATGTGAGCATTTGGACCATACACGTATGGCTAAACCATTTATAGTAATGGATCATACCATATGAGTATTTAGACCATATAGATATTGTTCAGATATGCATGATCAACATTTACCAATGATCTATGCTCATTTATCCTATGTGTGTGCTTTTTAATCAACAAGTTAGAAACAAAACAAGTATGTTCGGAAAACAAAACATAGAAAACCTAATTTCAAAGCATCTAAATTGCAATGGCAGAAAGTAAGAAATAAAACAAACCTGTTATGGACAAATTTGTCCCCTGTGCGTCACGTTGCTGGGGACATAAAAATACTGGGCGTCCGTCCATGCATCTGTCCTCTTGGTCTTGTTACCGCTCTCATGTGTACAATTCTTGCCAGACTTTTATAAAACTTATATCATAGGTTTATATCAGCAATGTCTCGGAAAAAGTTTGAAATTCAGTGCCAATCAACTATTTTAAAAAAGAGTTATGCCCCTTGGAAATATTAATTATATGGAAAATTACATTATAAGCACTCTTACATGTACAATTTTTGTCACATTTTTATCAAATTTGTATCAAATGTTTATATCAGCAATGTCACAGACAACTTCAAAAATCAGTGCCTATCAAATATTTTTTAAAGAGTTATGGCCCATGGAAATATTGATTATATTAAAAATTGCATTGCATTTGCTCTCAAGCACTCATATCTCTAAGCTATTTTTAATAAGTTTTAAAGAACAAAAAAAAAGAGTTTTTTTTTTTAGTAGTTGCCCTTGGACAGATAAAATATGTGCCACACAGGATTATTTAAAAAAAGATGAAGCAAAGATAAACTGTGTAAGAATTCTAACATCTTTCCCAGGAACTAATGAATCATTCTTCAAATCCAAAATGACAAAAGTTACAAACTAGAATTTTTGTCTTTGACATATTGTCAGAATCTGGGGTATCTGTTTCCTTGCCTTAGCTAGTTTCAGTTAAAGTGTCTTTATTCTGTTGACTTTTTCATCTGTTATTAAAACAGTTAACTTCTTGTTAAACACTTCATTTACTTAAGATATCTTGGAGTTTTCTTCTCAAGACAACAAAGTGTCATTCGTCAGGGCAAATTGATAATGACCCTATAAAAATGCCTTTACTCTAATTCTGACTTGCGAGTAAAATTTACTGGGTTATAAAAAACTTATTCATAGTTACTTTATTAATTAATCATGTGACACTAGTTACCATATGATTAAATACTAGTAACTCAACATTTTATAAACTTTTTTATGACAAGTCGAAGGATTGCACCCATTGAAAGTTACGGTATCAAAAGTTCATCATTTCAACGTTCATCATTAATTACAGGACCATATGGGTATATACACATATGGTCATAACCATAATTGTATGTTCCAAAAACTCATATGGTCTGGAACAGTTATATACATGTAAATGCATTGTGAAAATTTACTAGCCTACGATGTAGTTTAGAAAGATAATAGGGAAACTGAAGAAGGCCAGTGCCCAAAAAGTGGTTTATTTACTACAATAATGTATTGTATGTTCCTTTTTGGAATTTCTACCCAGGAATACAATAATTATAACAAATTAGTTTAATATATATATATATAAATAAAAGATGTAAACATTTGTAGTCTGAAAGTGGTATGATATAAGTCTCATGTACAATTTTGTTCTTTAATTTTCAATAACAAGACTGAAGGAAGAGTTATAAAAGTTGCTTATTAACTACAGATTCTCAAATATCTATCCTCTTTGAATGAAATGTGAAAAGGAAAAGTAAGAGTGATAATTATACATTTGTTGTTTTTGTTGTTTCTTTCTTCACTATTGTCCTCAAGCTTTTAAAACCAAACTGTGTTTAATTAAAACATACATTTGTTTTGACATTTATACTTAAAATGGAATTTTGACTACTTCTGATGTTGATATTTAAATATGAACTTTTAGCCTTATGTTGTATTGAATCTTATTGAATCTGCGAAAAAAAAACATCTCTTGCATACTTCATTTAGTCATTTAAATTCTTACCTAATTGACATTTGGCTTCAATATAATATGAGTCATTGACCTAGACCTGTAGAAATGAAATACATGTCTTTGGCATAGTGGTCTAAGTTTCCTTTATGAATTCCAGGACCAGTCAAACTTCCTTTAAAACCTATACTTATCGTATTATTTCTTATCATGAGGCTTAAAAAGAAAATAAATGGAGCACCCTGTATTTCTTTAAATTCAGCTTGCACCAGCAAGTCCAAAAGGGAACATTTTAGTTGATAAGTCAACTGGAGATCTTACCATGAAAGATTTAATCTGATAATGAAATTTAGGTGTTTTTTACAGCTTAATGGAAAATGTACGAGTAAGGAGAGCAGGTTATGCATTCCGTCAAATTTATGAACAATTTTTATTTCGCTACAAAATGTTGGCTCCTGAGACTTGGCCTTCATGGCATGGTGCTCCAAAAGAAGGAGTCCGGTTAATACTGGTAGCTCAAGAAGTTCCTGTGGATGAATATGCCTTTGGTAAAACAAAAATATTTATACAGAATCCCAAACTGGTATGCTACTATATTAATTGATATTCAGATAAATGTATTATATGATTTATTGAGATATTATAGTCGTTATTAATTGATTTGATATTTATCAGTTTTATTTTATACATCTTTTTGATAATTTTCAACTAATGTACTGTATAAGAAGTTATTTGTGGGTTGTATATTTAAGCTTATTTTAGCAGTTAGCCCAAAACTCTAAAATAAATTCCACCAATTTATATGTTAAACATTTTTTATATAACAGCATGTCTACAATGGTTCTTATGTATACGTTTAAAACGAGGTAAATTCTGAATAACACATCTCCAATATGAAAAATGATGTATGTCTTTTAACCTGGGATAATATATATTAGTAATCCTCTTTAGAGGTACATGTAAAACTCAGCTCCTTTCACTAAGTCTTTATAAATTTAATTATTATCCAAATATTAATAAGTGTCAAATTTTAAAATACAGTTTATTTGAGATTTGCTTTTCATTTTCAAATATTTTGAAAGAATTTTTTTATTTTCTTAGAAATATATCACATATTGACGGGATCTCACCATCCATTTTGCAATCTTTTACTAACATTCAGTTCAAAGTCTGCCAAAATAATAATTCAGAATTTTGAATATGCCATATAAATGAAAAATGCCAACATTTTCAGTATAGTTTTTATAAACCTAAACTGCTAAATTTTACACCCAAGAAAATAACCCACTATCTGGTATTTCAGGAATTGTATGTTTTTCCAAAAAAAACTCTTAAGGGTAAAAATGTTTTATGGAAGTGTATAGGAACTAGTATGTTTATCTGACAGTACCTACTCCTTCCATGTAACTGCATATCGACTCTGGCACATTGTCACAGGCTTCTTGTTCTACAACCAATTCAATAAACATTTGGCAAAGTAATGGGTCATAATAGGCAAAAACCCAATGCATCAGATGTTAATTTGTTTGATCAAACCTTAATATACATTTAATAAAACTTGTATTTAGGATCTTTTCTTTTGACACGTCATAAAGAATACGTCCTTTGGTGATAGTGTATATAACTCTATGTTAATTTTATTTGTTTGTTTAGCTATTTGACATTGAAGAAAGTAGGCGACAGAAAATGCATGATTTGGCTACAATGGTACAGAAAATATACAAAGGATGGAAGCAGAGGACTTTCTATCGGCTTATGAAGAAAAGTCAAATAATAATCTCCTGTCGATTCAGAGGATTCTGGGTATGTATATTGAGAAACAATTTAAAAGGAATAAAACAGTTTCATGTACCTCAAATTACAAGACTGTAGGGTTCCATCCTGCTACTTTTACACATTTTATGTTCTTAATTTTTTCAGTTGAGTCATTTTTATGCCCCATTTATGGGCATTATGTTTTTTGGTCTGTGTGTCCATTCGTCTGTCCTTATGTCTGTCCGTCCGTCTGTCCTACTTCAGGTTAAAGTTTTTGGTCAAGGTAGTTTTTGATGAAGTTGAAGTCCAATCAACTTGAAACTTAGTACACATGTTCCCTATGATATGATCTTTCTAATTTTAATGCCAAATTAGAGTTTTGACACCAATTTCACGGTCCACTGAACATAGAAAATGATAGTGCGAGTGGGGCATCTGTGTACTATGGATACATTCTTGTTTATTGTGCATTCTGATAATTTTTTCACATCAGCACTGAAAGATCTATTTTCTAATAACTTTAAATTCAGAAATTATTGTGAGTTTTTTTTCAATGCTAATAATGCGACTCTTTGAATATTGCAATAATAAGAACTCCCATTCTGATATCTGATATATTTATCTGTATTTGGCTTTTCCTATAATCGCAATAGTTAAACTCAAATTTTTGTTCATTCTTTATAAATCGCAATACTACATGCACACAATAATTTCTGAATTTACGGTACTATTAAATTTTCACAGGCTAAGAAACAGTATCAAAGAACAAAAGCAGCAAGTCTGGTGCTACAATGCTATGTTAGAGGGTGGAAGGTTTGTAAAATATTTAGATTAATTCAGATGAGATGTGGTTCAGTTTGCTGCTTCATTTTTATACCATTCTGAATTAGTGTGCAAAGGAACCATAGCAAAATAATAGCCGCTACATAGATGTGCATTTGCCTACACTCAGGAATGTTTTTTCCCACTTTTTAGCTCACCCTTCTGAAGGAACGGTGAGCTTTTGCCATCACTTGGCATCCGTTGTCTGGCGTCGTCGTTGTCCGTCCGGTGTAAATTATTTCAAACATCTTCTCCTCTAAAACTACTGAACCAATTCCAACCAAACTTAAGCTGAATGATCTTTAGGATATCTAGAATAAAGTTTGTGTTTTATTTTCTGTTTCGTCAAAAAACATGGCCGCCATGGCTAAAAATAGAACATAGGGGTAAAATGCAGTTTTTGGCTTATAGCTCAAAAACTAAAGCATTTGGAGCAAATCTGACGGGGTAAAAATGTTCATTAGGTCAAGTTCTATTAGCCTGAAAATTTTCAGATGCATCTAACAACCCATTGTTGGGTTGCTGCCATTAAATTGGTAATTTTAAGGAAATTTTGCAGTTTTTATACGACCCCAAAATAGCATCGTCGTCCGAAGACACATTGGTTTTCGCACTCTAACTTTAGTTTAAGTGAATGGATCTCTATGAAATTTTACCATAAGGTTCAATACCACAAAAGGAAGGTTGGGATTGTTTTTGGGGGTTATGGTACCAACAGTTAAGGAATTAGGGGCCAAAAAGGGGCCAAAAACAAGCATTTTTTGTAACTTCCAGACATAACTTGTGTGTTAGTGTATGGATCTCTCTGATATTGTACCACAAGGTTCCATATCACAAAAGGAATCCTTGGATTGATTTTTGGGGTAATTGCCTCAAAATTTTAGGAATTAGGGGCCAAAAAAGGGGAAAAAAACAAGCATTTTTCTAGTTTCATGACAATAACTTGTGTGTAAGTCTATGGATCTTTCTGAAATTGTACTACAAGGTTCCATATCACAAAGGGAAAGCTGGAATTGAGTTTGGGGGTAATTGCCCAAAACGTTTAGGAACAAGGGGCCAAAAATAAGCATTTTTCTAGTTTCCAGACATTAACTTGTGTTCAAGTGTACAGATCTCTCTGAAATTGTACTGCAAGGTTCCATATCACAAAGGGAATGCTTGGATTGATTTTGGGGGTAATTGCCTCAAAATTTTAGGAATTAGGGGCAAAAAACAAGCATTTTTCTAGTTTCATGACAATAACTTCTGTGTAAGTCTATGGATCTTTCTGAAATTGTACTGCAAGGTTCCATATCACAAAGGGAAAGCTGGAATTGAGTTTGGGGGTAATTGCCCAAAACCTTTAGAAATAAGGTGCCAAAAAGGGGCCAAAAATAGCATTTTTCTAGTTTCCAGACAATTCCTTGTGTTCAAGTGTGTGGATCTCTCTGAAATTGCACTGCAAGGTACCATACCACAAAGGGAAGGCTGGGATTGATTTTGGGGGTAATTGCCTCAAAATTTTTGGAATAAGTGGCCAAAAAGAGGCAAAAAACAAGCATTTTTCTAGTTTCAGGACAATAACTTGTGTGTAAGTGTATGGATCTTTATGAAAGTGTACTGCAAGGTTCCATATCTCAAAGGGAAAGCTGGGTTTGAGTTTGGGGGTAATTGCCCTAAATGTTTAGGAATTTGGGGCCAAAAACAAGCATTTTTCTAGTTTCCAGACAATAACTTGTGTTCAAGTGTATGGATCTCTCTGAAATTGTACTGCAAGGTACTATACCACAAAGGGAAGGCTGGGATTGAGTTTGGGGGTGATGAATCATAAGGGGGTTCAAAACATTGGGGGGGGGGATTTTTTTTCTTTAAAATTTTCCATTTTAAATTGGTTATTTCTGATTTATATATAAAAGCAAATAATAATGATATGGTTTGAATAGGTATATTAAAAAATTTTAAGTTCTTAGACCACATTCATTCTGTGTCAGAAACCTATACTGTGTCAAATATTTAATCACAATCCAAATTCAGTGCTGTATCAAGCTTGAATGTTGTGTCCATACTTGCCCCAACTGTTCAGGGTTCAACCTCTGCGGTCGTATCAAGCTGCGCCCAGCGGAGCATTTTATTGGTTATTATCTTGAATATTATTATAGATAAAGATAAACTGTAAACAGCAAAAATGTTCAGCAAAGTAAGATCTACAAATAAGTTTTTTTATGACCAATATTGTCAATTGACCCCTTAAGGAGTTATTGTCCCTTAAAGACAATATTTCACAATTAGTTCATCTTATCTAGTTTGCTTACTTTAAAAAATCTTCTTCTATGAAACTGCTGAATCAATTTTAGCCCACACTTGTGCTGAATGAGTTTCAGAGTATCTTGTATAAATTTTATATTTTATTTCCTTGTACGTCAAGAAACATAGCCACTATGGCTAAAATGGAACATAGGGGTAAAATGCATTTTTTTGCTTTTGAAGAAAATATGACAGATACAAAGAACATTTAAATTGCATTTTTAAGCCACTCATTAATATGTATTGAAAAGCAAAAATAATCATTGATGAAAGATTTAAGCAAAAAATAAGAGGTGAGCGATTCAGGCTCTTGAGAGCCTCTTGTTTTTAGTAAAAGGAATGGTAAATATCTGTTTGGCCGTAATTTGATACATTTTTTATCGGCACCACTTGTTGCTTGTAAAAATGTTTAAAAATATGATATTTCAAAGGGCTTGATTTCAAAATTTAATCAAAAGTAATATTACAAATTGTTATTAGTGTCATTTGCTGGAAAAAGTTCAGAATTAGTAAATTATTGCAAAGTTTTTAGTAAAGATGGATATATAAGACTTGTGATTCACAAAAACTTTCTATATGAATTTAAGTAGTATTGTATAAGATTCTTCATTTCCATATATGACCATTCATTACAAAAAAAGTTTTATTTGTAGTAAGTAATTTGTTCAAAATTTCAAAGCCATGATGATTACACTTAGGAGTTCTTATTGCAGTAACTGAAGTTTATAGAGAATATTTGTAAACATATATTTAAACAGTCTATTTTATATTTGTCAGTGACTTCCACAATACTACTTGGCCTATCATATCATTAAGTATAAAGTAAATTGGGTGCCTCATGTGGAGTAGACATATAATAGAAAAGAAAGGATATGGGTTATCCATCCATGACACAAAATCAGTACATGCACAGCAAAAAAAAACAAAACACAAAAAGCAAAGAAACAGTGATTTAATTGCTGTTCTTTATCTCAAAGACACAGTGAGGCCCTTCAACACAGAGCAAAAAAAACTCTCACTTCACAAGTTTAAGACGGCTCCTTTGCCACGGTTTGAGTGGAATTATTTGCAAACTGATTATCAAGCCACAACTTTGAATTGAAGAGCCATACCATCCAGGAGCATTTAATATTGCTATTAAAGAGGAGTTTGTTTTGTTCAACATTTCTTTTTCAGTGATTGTTGTTTGTTCCTGTGGGTCTTGTTTTTCTTGTGTTTGGCATAAAAAAAATACTGATTTTATACATTTAATCTAGACTGTTAACTAATGAGAAAAGATCTACAAATAATTAAAGGTCACATGAAACAGTTATTTAGTAACCTTTGGTGACACTTACCATACCTTTGATGAGGTATTACTTAAAGTAATTTGAAAAAAACATTTCTTGAATAAATATGACAATAAGTTTGAAATAAGAAAAGAACAGGAAAAAACATTAAACCTGAAGTCAAGGGTCTGGAAATGCTCATATCTGTCAGACGTAACCTAATTTGAAAGCTAAGTGACTGAAATGGTAGATTGGGATTTAGGTCGCAAAATTTTTTTTACAGAAATAATTTTGGTCATTTCATTGAGATCTTTTTTTTTGGTTATTTCATTTCTCAAAATTAAAAGTAGCGTGGTCAATTCCAGAGAAAGTTATCAGGAATAAAACCATTAATTCTTAGCCCCATTGCTTTCTATGTTAAATTCTACAATTTCAAGCATTAATGGCTACTTTGTTTTAAGTTCAAATAAAGGGACAGTCCTTTCATGTCAAAACTATACCTTATATATAATGCTCAAATATAATGGCCTTTCATATCATTAAGTATAAAGTAAATTGGGTGCCTCATGTGGAGTACACATATAATAGATATATAAATAATATATTCATATGAGCATTTCCAGACCCTTGACTTCAGGTCATTAAAGATTGCAGATTTTGGCTTTAATATTGATTCACTTATAGGGTCTTTGCATCGGAATTAAACATATTTATTCTAAAACCAGTTGTTGGCATGACACGGGTTATGTTCTTCTCATATATTTTATGATGGTATAATACTAAACCCCTAGCAGGAGGGATTGTGCCTGATATTCATATGATGAAGACATAATCTTTCAATCAGTTTAATTGAGGTCTGGAGCTGGCTTGTCAGTAACTGCTAGTAGTCTGTTGTTATTTATATATTATTGTCATTTTGTTTATTTTCTTTTGTTTCCTATTCTGACATCAGACTCAGACTTCTCTTAAACTGAGTTTTACTGGCGTACTGTTGTACGTTTGTTTTTTCTACATTGGCTAGAGGTATAGGGGGAGGGTTGAGATATCAAAAAACATGTTTAAGCCCGCCGCATTTTTGCGCCTGTCCCAAGTCGGGAGCCTCTGGCCTTTGTTAGTCTTGTATCATTTTTAATTTTAGTTTCTTAGTGCGGGAGTTTCTCGCTGCATTCAAGACCCATTGGTGGCCTTCGGCTGTTGTCTGCTCTATGGTCGGGTTGTTGTCTCTTTTACACATTCCCCATTCTCAATTTTACTTATCCTGACTTGTGCTGAAAAATTCAACATACCTTTAATTGCATATTAGACCATACTGGTTCCCGGAAGTTTGATAGTACAAAAACAGGTACTTCTGATCTGAACAACAGGGCAAATGTGCCCTCCTATTATAATTTTATATACTTTTTGTCAAGCCTTTGACTTTTGTGGGAAAAGCGAGACATA